GAGATATTTCTCGAACTTTGATTTTCTGTAGTTTATAGGCAAAGTATATCCGGCTTCATTTTAGAACAAGCATTTAGTTCCACTGTAGAGAGATTCTGTTCGATATTTCTGCTTAATCGAAACGATGTTGTACGATGTCCAATAGTAAACGCTAAGTCCTCGTTTGAGTACTTAGCAAGTACTTAGAAAGAGAAAATACCTATTGCCGTGATTTCCTCGTCATATCACATTTTATGGGAAAACAGCTTCACATTAGTTGAAGTTAACTCCACGCAGATATATGTATGAGATAATTGGTGCGTTGCCCAAAGACCTTTGGGCGATCATAATTATTCGATCATAACATACAGTACTATATAGAATACTGGAACATGAGATCGCTTTACAGAAATTCAAGACGAGTATTAATTCAAATCGATCATATACACGTTCCCACACACAAGTAATTCATGCATTATTTATGTTTATATTGTTAATAATTACATGTATATATGTGTACATATAATTATTAACAATGCATGTATGTATAATTACGCATATACATGTAATGGAAAGAAAAAAAAATATATATAACATATAATAATTAAATATTTTTTTGCAAATTTCTCTCTCCTTCTCTTTTATGGATATCAGAGTCGAAAAGAATTCAATTACAAAGAGCTGAAGGATTATATAATTCTTTTCAAATTACATCTCAATCGCCAAATACATAAATAATACGTCTCTCAAACTTTTGTATCCATAAGAACACTCGACGACTGCAAATAAGACATTCACAAAGAAGATGCAATACGACACTTAAATGTCACTCGAATTGCAGCGCTTTTTGATGAACCTCAATAAGACACTCCATCTCCCGGCTGACAGTTATGGAACGAGTGTATCGTAAAGAAACGTTCCTTTGCGGTGATTAAGGAGGCAATTGCAGACGGAGAGTAAACTGAACAATGTCGTCACTAATTTAGCCAATTGCGGCTGCACATGTTTCGTTTACAAGCGTCCACTAGCGTGTGCAATCCAAAGCGTAATGCGTGTGCGTGCACTCGCCTACGAGACAGCGAGTGAATTACGCGTTTAAGCGTGCTTGCGATAATTGTTATAAGAGGAATTATGTTCGGGAAGGGGGAAGGTATTGGCTTTGCAGAGTGCCCGATGACGAGGTAACCGTAATAAACAATAATACCAATTAAAACTGCCAATTACGATGTTAACTGCATCCGCGTTCTTCTTAATGCTCGCAACTCGATTACCACGCAAAAAAGGGTGCATTAAATAGATATATTCTTTTCTAACAAAAAGATATAATTGCATACGTAGCAATTGAAAGATTGACAATAAGAGTGTCTAAGAGATAGAAATATTTAAATTCCCTCCTGAATATATCAAATATTTAATTTCTTTTTCTTGAATCCAGATTACATCTGACGAAATCAATGCTTATTACACGACACGTCGTACAAATACATGATGTTTCATATAATCACTTATTAGGTATTCATGTTGCACATAGCATGAAAGCTTTAATATACACGCTTATCGCGGCGTGCAGTGAATATGCATAGCGATAAGCCCAGCGCCGACGTTTAAGACTGCCTAAACTGATTGCGAGAGGAGCGCTGCGTGGGAGCACTCTCGAATGCCTTGCACGCGTGTGTGCACACGGAAGGGGACGTTGCTTGCATTATGAGATGCGCGTGTGTGAGTTACTTAAGCGCAATGCTTGACGGACGTCTTTTCTGTCGCCGAAGAACTCGCGCCAGCGCGACTGACCATTTGACTTCCCGACCCGCCCACATCTCGTAAAACGGTCCACTCGGTCTTCCCACAACCGTTCTCAAATTTTCGAGCAATTCGTATCAATCAAGCCTCTACCTCTCTCCCGTCTGTCCCCCCCCCCCCCCCAAGAGAAATCGTGCCCACGAGGCGTCAGACAACGAGCGAGAACGATTTATTTTAATGTCTTCAGAAAGGGACCACATGCGAAATTATTAGTGTCCGTGTGTATGTCTGTATTATATTGAAAATGGATTTTAATTTCCTTACGTATTTACTTTTTTTACACAATATTGCACGACACAATTTGATATGATACATACATTATATATGTAATATCAAAATATCTATAAAAAGGCAACAAGTAAGAAGATGTTAACAAAGATGCACTCTTTCTGGCAAAATAATAATTTATATCATATTTGATAAAAAAAAACAACAATCGTTATATTGGAAAGTGTAGAATGTGCTTACATTTAATCCAAACACAAAACAAATTGAAAAGGGATTACTAATTGCGATGTAATAATTGAATACACGGTAATTACGAACGCGGCGTGTTATTTTTAAATTTCATATCGCCGTTATTTCCCTCACAGTCATTGATTGTACATAGTACTAATTAAAAATGCGACGAACGATCGATTTTCATGAATAACCGAACAATCGAAATTAAATGTAAGCAATTAACAACATGTATCGCGGTTTCACTTCACGTTCCATACTCATATCATACAAATTTTTCATTCTACCAATTTGAATACATTATACTTCACTACATATCACTTCACTATCAAATTATATATATATATATATATATATATATATATATATATATAGTTATATATTTTTAAAAAGCTAAAATATTTTTAAACTTATATATTAATTCCGATCAATTTCCGATTCATTACTGAAAATATAGTTAATTCACCTAAAGTTAAATATACATATATATATATATATATATATATATATATATATATATAAACAGTGATTTTTTTTAAATTGCTGAGAACGTATATGTTAGAATTTAATAATATCAATTGTCTCATTGTATGCGAAAGAATGAAAGACTCGAATTATTACGAGCTCGAAAATTTATCGCTATTTCACCTCTCGTGCAAATAAATAAATTCCCATTAAAACGAATTGTTTCAAATCGAACAAAACGAGGGAGCCCGAATTAATTCGCAACGAATGCACCTGCTGTTAACACAGCGCAAGAAATTTCCCAAAATTGAGTGTTTTACTGCACAACGGGGCGCAACCCGCCGCGCCCCGGAGAGTTTTCATAAATCGCGATGCACACATAAGTTCGCTTAACCAGAAATTTGCTCTCCCAACTCTCTTTCATCCTCTTCCTCTCTCTCTCTCTCTTGACTGTGTAATGGCGCTGTTTTTCCAGGAGTACGAGAGGGATGCGGAGACGAGGGAGAAAACGAGCGCGTACAAATGCGACCGTTTTGGTCACTCTCTGTATAATGCAAAAAAGAATCGCGAGCAAAGCGTATCGACGTGTCGACGTAGCGAACGAGCAAATAAACGCGCCGACCCGCGCCGCCGCACCAAATTTATCGCGCGCGCTTAATTAGCGGGCAAATAACGCGATTAACGCGCGGCCGACCACCACGCGGGCTGCCGACGGTTTGTCACGTTTACCACACGACTCGCGCGAATCGGAAAGCTTGTATATATATATATATATATATTGTGCGTCGGAAACTGTTGCTCGCGACAGCCAGAAATGCAGCCGGTGTCCCGCGGCCGGAGAAAAACGAAAGGCACAAAGGCACGAACAATAACGCGTCCGCCGTGACTAATGCACCGGTTATTGCGCCAAACTATTTATTTTCGACACTTGAAATATTGCGACGTTATACGGATACTATGTGAAAACGATATTTCAATTAATAGAATATGTTATATATATTATTAAAGTTTCACGCACATATATTTTTCTTATTTTTTCTCTTTTTATTGCAAGACATATATTCTTGTTCTATCCCCTGCTGTTACTTTTAGAGAAATATTTTTTAAACGTTTACGAGATATTATCGATGAACTATTGTGAAATATAGAAGACAGAATAATGGCGAGAATCGTATTTTCGCCGTTAACTGTGAAAGGTGAAGGACCAGAGAACGATGAATCGTTGAAAGTTTTTGCCTACCGCGGTGTAAAGCCGCGGAATGGAATGGAAGTCGAAGTATTGGCTTTGCATTTGATCAACCGTGCAATGAATAAGGAAAACTTGGTCGCGTTCTATGCATCGGAATCTGTTGCGTTCGTAAGCCCGAATTGTAAGCCCGCACAGCTGCGGGCGAGAAGGCGCATGCTGGGAAATAATATCATGCGGGAAATATATAAATGATATTTCGAATCATAAATTATTCATAATAAATACGTCACTTTTCTCCAAAGCCACCTTTAGCTTTTCCCTGCAGTTGTCTTTGGGAAATCGTGTATTATATAAAGATTAATTTTTATCAAATATATTTAAGTAATATGAAGGAATAAAATATTATACACACGCACATATGCTTGTTTTTGGCATAAAATCAGCCTAACATATTTCTCATTTGTATTCAAAAATAGTTAAGAAAAACCTCGAAACGAATAAAAATACAAAATGAATAAAATACATAAAAGACATAAAGAAATTGTAAAATCATCGCGTTAGATTTAATGTAATTTAATACAAAAGCGGTAAAATAATTGCGATATAATTTATCTGTAATAATCGATGTATAATACATTCATTACCGAGAAAAATATAGAGAAAAAGAGATAAAATTTATTAAAGTCTTGTCGGATACGGCACGGAATAAAATTCAAAGTATCAACTTTATATTTGATCAGAAACGCGACGAATAAGGAAGCCCCGTATCCTGCCATATCCAAGTCTGCGACGAGGCAAATCAATCCTCGAACTTCAAAGGAATCCCGCCGCTCTGATCCTTCGGGATTTCCTGATACGCGTGGGAGTCTTTAATCAGAGAACGCGAGTCGACGGCCCTTGACGGAACATCGACCTCAGAATGGGCTCGGTCGCCCATTGTCTTCAGAATCGGTCCGTCCGGCCTGTCGCGTGGCATATTAATTAATTCGCTAATTATTAAACTAATTGCCGGTTTAATTGGCTCGCGAGAGAAACCAACTTCACAAACAAGGAACGAAGACTTTAGGAAAAGAATACAGACTGCTTGATTGTGCACCATGATACATACCTCCAGGGACGTGCGAATCTCAGCTTGTTCTAACCAGACGATATCTTGTCTTGTTGCTATCAACTATCCAAATTAACTAATGCTGGATTAGCAGTTGATTGTTTCTTCTTCCAAGTCTCATGTCTGTAATTAAACAATTAATCTAAAATTAATTATCATGTATTTTTTGATTGCTTTAATTTACATCTATGTGATAATTCTGAATTTTATGGAATATATATGTATGACACACTAAATTTGATTGTATTACGTTTGTGTTTGTTTTTGTTTGTCATTTACAATTCGCAGGTTTGGGTTTTGTATATTCGACACACTATTCAATATTTATGTTTTCAGTATGTAGAGCACGTCAGAAGCATTCGTATCCCAATACGTACACTTTATTCAATGCAAAGTGAGTACTTCGTATCAGAGGCACGCGCGAGAACCGCGGTTTCGCATCCTGGGAGTTTTCACTCCAAAACCAACCGTACTAAAGTAGATAGCCGGCCCTGCATATCCTGTGGACTAACAGGACAGGGTCAAAGGGGTCTATTGTATTCTCGCTTAACTACTGCTTACTGCAACACAAAGCTCTGAAAAGCCGACAAATTATTTAAAAAGACTCGTTATTGTTCCGGGAAGGGAATGGTCAAACCGCCGCAAAACCACTTGCTAACTAGACGAAAACTCTTTCAGTTGAAAGAAAAAATAGTTACACGCATAGAGAAACTGGACTTTTACGTATATAAGTGAAAATTACTAAAGAGATAATAATAAAAGAAGAAAAAAAATAGAAAATGGATGTACATTTAAAATATAAAATATTATTCATAATATCAAGATTTTCGACACGTTGTTTTTACAGTTTGTTTAATAAAAAAATGTGGCAATATTTAAAGCGACATAAAGTATGTTTGTAAAACTAGGTTTTGTGTGTGAAAATAAATCAATAAACGCTATAGTATAACTATAGCTCTGTGTATGTTGAGATATATGAAAAAAAAAATAAAAATTAACTCTGATTTTATTTTTCTAATTGTTCTCCAATATTTTGTCAATATACTATATTGTCTTGAAATAAAGCTGCACATATGCACAAACATCTATTCTTAAAATAATACAAAATAATATGCCATAAAATAATATTTTTCTGTAGCATAGGTAATAAAATTGTCGGATATTGAAACAGTAATAAAAATATAATAACCACAAAACAATAAGTACACAAGTAGCAAATAATATATCTAAATCTATACGAGATAGATTTTACAGTCATATAACATAACGGATAATATGAAAGATACTTTGAATATTATTATATAAATATATTATTATATAAATAATCATTATTAACTTTTAACTTGCACCAACTATATAAAAAAGCCGCAAATAACTTTAGATCGTGTATTTCTTCTGTTAATCTTCTTATATGAGTTTTTATTTAACAAATATGTAATGCATAAAATAACTATTTCGCTGAAATAATTGTAGATTTGATTTTAAGAAGATCAGAAATATGCCAAAAATAAAAATCACGAGAGAAAAATTGCTTTTATAAAAAATTATCTCAAAGTAGTCTAGTAAAATTATTTTCTAAATTAATTTCAAAAATAAAATTGCAATTTTTTTCGTCTTTTTTTAAGTTAATGCTTGAAATTCTTTTGCAACCATTGCAAATTATATATCTATTATCGACAGAAAAAAAGATACAGATGAATTTTTCTGAAGGAGCTATTGCAATAATAATTGATCCCCATTTTAAACTTACAATTAGCTCACTTTAGAATACTCGACTACGTTCGGTCGATCGAATATTTTTAATTATTGCGCCGTATTTGTTCCGATCGTCCTACGCAATAAATAAAGTACACGTCGATCATTATAAAGCTATTTCCCCTGCTGGGATTTTTATCACGCGGCTGAAATTTTCTAACAATAACTATATTTTCGTAAAACTTTCCGAATTTTCAGCTTTTAAAATTATTAACTTTAATTGAATTATTGAAATTGTTCTAGTCTTATCATGTAGCATAGATAAGCCAAGTTTTATTGCATAACTTCTTTTATTGCATAAGAAGAAATTAAGAAATAAATAAAAAAATTTTTATTTCAGCGTTTCACTTAATATTCTAATTATTAAATTCTACTTGAGCTAAATTAATTTAATATCGTCGCTAAATTAATCTAATATCGTCTAGTCTAAATTACATTGATAGTATATCCTTAGATTAATGGAATAAGTAAATTATTTGTATTTTTTATTATTGTAGGTACCACACTGAAGATACTGAGATTGGATGTACCCAGCATTGCTGATCCACGGTCGGAAAAAGTGTCGCTCAAATGCGAATACGATCTCGGCGGAAAAGAACTGTATTCGGTGATATGGTTTAAAGACAATCGTGAGATATTTAGATATATGCCGCGAGCAGAAAATCCTAAGAGAGCTCAGAATATTACTGACCTATACATCGATCTTAGTCGTAGTGACAGCAAGCAAGTGACACTTCTGGGTTCGAACTCTCATAGAGGTGCGCGATCTTAATTTACAAATATAAATTATTAAACATATCGTCACATCGTCATTTTTCTCATCTTAACGCAATTTCTTACGCAACAGTTTTTTTCTGTGTCTAAAATTATTAAGTTATAATTATCAGAGAAAAATTCAAGTCGCAAGATCGAAGGATTAAAATTAAATTTGTTTCTCAAATTCGTTTCTCTAATTCATTTTATCATCACTCTTATATGATCTGATAAAAATATCTTTATAAAAAGAAAAAGAATATTTCTTCAAATTTTTAACTTACTTCTCTTTAATCTTTTTTCTCTGACTTGATAATGAAGGTGAGATCAACTTGGCGGGATCTTACGGCTGCGAAGTATCGTCAGAAGCACCGAATTTCGAAACAGATTACAGGGAAGCAAACATGAGCGTGGCTATACCACCCAGAGATCCCCCGACACTCGAGGGGATACGACCTTCTTACAAGATCGGCGATATCCTCGAAGCGGAGTGCATGGCATCGAGTTATCCCCCAGCAGTTTTAACGTTCATCTTGAACGGTAAAGAGGTGAGTCAATGACCGTATGCATTCCGCCAGTTAAACTTTCGAGAGGCCGCATGGTCGAAGAAGGGTTGATCACCAACTTTATGAAATTCTATATATTATATGTAAAGATTATACTTTTAATTTTTCGCTTTGCAGATTGTTTATATCAAATAGAGATTAATTTCTCATTTATAATTATCAATTGAGAGTGTGCAAATTTCTGGTTAAATCTTTTTTTTTGGTTTTCAATATGGTTTCTAACTCAAAACTTAATGACATCTCAATATTTTATTTGCAATATTTATTTGGCCAAAAAAATTCGTTCCTGAAATGTTATTTTAAAATACCTCTGTACATTGGTCGATACAAAATAAGAGAAAATTTTATAATTAATCGTGAAACGTAATTAATCTTCAAAAAGCTCGTTTCCGCGGCTGTTACGCAAGCACGGCGAACTAGAGAACCACATAACTTCCATTATTCAATGTTACGCTCTGTGCATGTCATTCGCGAGAAGATACTACTCGGTTTATTTAACGACAATTTGTCAAGTCGAGCCACTTTGCGTGGACGTTTTTATTTCGCTTGGTCAACCGGCTACACACATTCACGTTCTCAACAAATATAGAGCTACGACTCGCAAATTAACTTCTCGAGAATAAACTCGTGAAAACGCATCGGAATTGCGATGCTAACAAAAATATTCTATTCTGTTTTATAATAAAAATACAAAAGCTTGGAAACAATGATATAATGTTTTAGAACTTTTGTTATTTCTCTTTCAGGATTTTATAATTTATTTGAAGTCAGAAATTAAATTAAATCTGTCTTTGTCTATCATTTATTTGTATTCATTTATTTAATTTGCAATATTGTAAATATTTGTATTCATATTATAACTTGATCTATTACTTCATTAAAGTGTGTTATTAAAAAAAATATCAATTTCAAATTACACACATTTTGAAATTTAAACTTTGATTGGTTCAACAGGTGAACAGAGATACTTTAACCAAAAAGCGAGGCAACATGGATGAAAATATGATCTCTAGGACAGAATTGGGCCTAACGTTGCGTCTGGAACGAGCTCATTTTTCCGATGGCAAGCTAACAGTGGTCTGTCAATCAGCATTACCAGGAATTGCCAATAACTTAGTCTCCGAATCTATGAAGACCGCGACTCTTGCCGCCAGTAATCAACGTCTTGCCCAAGAACCCCCTAAATCGGGGGTTTCAAGATCGAATGCCGGAATGTTTTATACGGTTCTTATTTTTTGGATAGTAGCCCCGATTCACATAATTCGTTACAACAGTCTCAGATTTCTACGCGTTTAATATCGATCCGTAGATTTTGATCGACGACACGACAACCAGCGATGCCAATATCTTTATTAAATTCGTATTAATTAGTGCATACACATCTCTATTTGTTCATGCGGAAAATGTCATAATCACTGTCGATTTCTCCCTATGTGTTATCTGACGATCGCGGATGTTGCCGAATGTATGTATGTAATCTTTAGGGCGTGATACCAAGTGCGTCGATACACATTTCGATGCTCGGAATCTTCGCGCATTCCGTACACGTTCAATCGCATGTATACACAGTTAGAACACCCCGTATATCTCGTATATAGCGGATAACTCGGAGAGACATGGCGATAGTAATACAACACTACGTAAAGTAGGTCGAAACGCAGACGCCCGACGTTGTACATAGTGTATAATTGTGAATTAGCATTACAAATTATCGTGTATAATTAACTGGACGAGAGACCGAACGATGACGGAGAACACGATGAAAGTAACATGAGATGTATCGGGATTCGCAGAGATACGCGCGAGCGAAAAAAAACGCGCGTGCAATTTTCGAGGGAAAAATATATACGGCTGAAAATCGCATCTCCGAAAAATATCTATCATTCACATCCAGACCAGAAGCATAGTTTAACAAATATAAATATAAATGTGTGTACACGCGCCGATCGTAATCCTAAGTACGGCTCGACGTCGACGTATAGTATAAATAATGTGTGATTAATTCGATTATATTTCCCACATCTGATCTTCCTCAATGACGTGTGCGAGGTTCTACGTGTGAAGTAAAAAAATATGACGATTTCGTTCTTTACTGCCATTTTACATGAACCAAGTTATTATTATCGAAGCGAGTATACAGTAATAAACGATGATTTAATCAATTTAATTGGTATATCTTTCGCAAACCAGAATATCCTCTTTAACGTAATGCTTTTATTGGATGTTAATTATATTTAATTTGCGATTTATAGATAAAATGTATACATTGATTTTCGTTAAGGCATGTGAAACTAAAATATATCTATCGCAATCATAATCAACGCGGATTGCAATCGCTGTCATATCAAGGAACAAGTTAATAAATATTGCAAGAGCAATTTAATTATCCGAGAATCTCGTAATTCGATTGGTTTCCTTTGTTGACGTCTGTATAAAGAAGAAAAGAGCTATCACGACTCGATACATAATTTGTGTAAGTAAAATAAAGGCCAACAAGATAAGAGCAGTTTGAGACGCGAAAGGGAGGTTAAGTCGAGATAGGGTAAACAATAAAAGGGGAAATTAGCAAGAGGATGATCTTTGGAGAAAACTGTCAAAAGAGAGAACGGTCACATAAACCGCCTCGGATTCACCAAACGGATTTACCACCACCCTCACCCTTCAATCCGATCTATCGGCACGCCGCCGACTTTGCGACTTTCTCCTTCCTCTCCTAGATTCGATTTCCAGATTAATTAAGGATCGCTGGTCTGAAAGGACGCTCTCAAGATCCTTTCAATGGGGTCGAGTGTCCGTTCGTCCCGAGGGCGGCGTAACGAACGCCGATTCGAATCGGTTTCACGACACACCGAGCCCGATAATGGACGCGAAAGCCTGATTTTCCTTCGGCTCAGGTAAGTCTATCTTACGATTCCACGCTTGCTTACTGATTACGAACGCTTTCGATGAAATCCTCAATTTAATAGCTTACGCCACATACGTGAGAAAATTTTCAGGACCTGACGGAAAACTAAAGCCCGTCTTCATTTTTTTTCTACTCTTGTTCTCGAAAATAATAAGATATTTATCCCGCACTTTTGTTTGTTATAATTTAAGATAAGATCGATTCATCTTACAGAAAAAAATCAAATAATTATTTTTCATGCAGCTTTTTCGTTTTTTTTTATATTAATATTAATTTATTAAGAGTCTTAAATTAAATTTTGCCAATTAAGTGCAAGAATACTATTGTTAGAATGCTGTGCAACTTGATGTTAATTAAAGGGCAATGCTCTATTTATAGATTATAAAAATAATTTAAGAATTAATTGATTAAAAAAATACGAAAGTCTATTTGTCTCAAAAATTAATGCTCTAATTCTCATCTGCAAAAAAACACTTGCACCGTTATATCTAAGATATTTTTATAATTTAATAATTTGCCAGGAGAGATATACGATTGATCTGAAACGACCTACATAGTTCAACCGAAGACAATAGGTGAGCACCAAACTCACAGCTGAATTGTAGACGACACGACGTTAGGGCTTTAGGGCGCCCGAAGTCGAAGGTAGAGTCTCACTATTACTCTCTCGCTATTACTCCCTCACCACTTTGCTTTATCACCTTCTCTCTAGTAGAGGGAGAAAGAGAGAGAGAGAGAGAGAGAGAGAGAGAGAGAGAGAGAGAATGTGCAGCCTTCGTATGATATATGCCCTCGTATGAACACGTACGATAGGTGTACGTCTGTGGCGTAGCACGACGATACATACGTGCGTGCATACAAGCACGCGCGTACGAGTACAGCTGTATCCCGGAAGAGATGCCAGGAACTGATACGAAATCGATAGAATCCAGTTTCCGGCAACGTGACGTGCGGCGTTTATACCATTCGCCCAACAGCGGCATCAACTGGCGATAGGAACAACACTGTGCCAGCGATCTTCCAAGCGATTCGCGCGTCATTCGAGCACACTTTGACTAGATAGGTAGATAGATAGGTTCTCGCTTTCAAAAAGAGAGAATCGACGAGATTCCGAACCAATATGATCAGTTTCTTAAGAGATCTTGGCACAGAAATCGCGATAGTGCATTTCGCATATTTGCAGCATGACCTTCGCAAATAAAAACTCAGCATATGTCATAGCCATATGATAAAATCATGTAATAAAAAATTGAAAAAGTAAAATAATATAAATTTAAATTAAAAAATACAATTTTATAACAAAAAATTATACTTAAAAAAATTTGAATAGGACAAATTTTAAAGGTGTGCATTGATATTAACAAATTATATGTGCCATTATTCAGAATCAAAGATTGACTCATACGTGATATGCAGATATATAATATGCATTTATATACATATGAAGAAATTAGATAAAATCAATATATATATATATAATAGTAAACATTAAATTTTATGAAGATGAAATTGAATAAACAATTTTATTCGCAAGTATGAAATGGATATTCCATCTATCAAAAATAAAATATTTTTATTGTAGTATACATTAATTTTATAAAATAATTTTTCATATTTTACAAAAGTAATTATCACACTTGTCTAGAGAGAGGTAATAATAAAATTCAATTAATCATCTCATTTTATCGATATCAATTTCGTCAAGTTTACCTATCAGAAATTTATCTCGACAAGTTCAAATCGATCATTAATACCTGCGTGATTCTCTTCTGATGACAAACTTGGGAAACGATTGGCAAACAGAAAACCCGCATATCGATAAGGAATCATGATGTTGATACTACGATTGATCGTAAGCGATTTCCGAACAAAAGATTCGGTGCTGAAAATATCATTACTAGTTTCTTTTCTTTCATTTCAACATATGCAGATTGATATTTTTCACTTTGCAATAAAATCTTTCTTAATATAAAAGACAATTGTTAATAATTTTATATTTTTATAATAAATTGTCAAATAATTATACTATAAATTTCTCAACAAAAGCTTAAATTTATATTTTTAAGAAATAATAGAACGATTTATGCCACATTGTATTATTTAGAATTTTTAAATCCCTTATAGAGATCAGAAATATATTCTAAAATTTTATTATAATTATGTCGGAACTTTTAAAAAGTACTTATTGTTAGGTAGAAAAATTCTCGTTGAAAGAATCAATATATAGCCCAATCTCTTTTAAGACGATAGTTTGTCTCTGATGAAAAACTACGAGAAAGCAATTCTGGAAAAATTGTCAACACGAAGAAATTCCAAGTTTTTGATGTATAGCGCAGCAGGGTCGCAAGTCCATAAAAAAATTTTATTAAACAGTCGAAACCACTCACTTTCATATTAAAAGGGATACGAGTTTTATGAAAACAGAGAGACATTGGTTAGAGAGATTAAAGGAAAAACTTCACGATAATTCAACTTTACTATTCCGGCTTTTCTTTTCCATTGTATTCTTTTCCAAGCGCGATTGATGAGATTGGAATATCGTATCCACTCATCCATTTGCGAACATCCACTCTTTTTTGCTAAGTAGGCTAAGCGAACTAAAATACTCGATAAAAATAAGTAAAATCAAGTTGTAATATTCATAAAATATCTATATGGAAACCTTACCACTTTACTTCGGCACTTAAATACAATATTTAATATCTAATAAATAGTAAAAAAACTGAGTAAGAGAACTGCAGAATATGGTAAAAATGTAATGCAAAAAAGATAAAATACTTAATTAATTAAGCACAGATACGAGTATGTATCAGAAGCTCGGCTATATTTTATTATAAATGAAAATGAAATTGAAATTATTTTACAACAAAATAGTACAAAGTTGTCATATATATTTCAGAGTGCCTTATACATCTCTCGCAGAAAGAATGACATAGCTTTCTGAATTCTGACAGGCAATGGAAAGCATACACAAATCCGCGGAATCTGAATACACAACTGGATTCCTGTCGGTAGTTTATATAAACCAACCTTCCACACAATCTATGTTTCCTCATTTCCTTTCTAGTGAAATATCTTCAGGTAACTCGCTGTTATGCCAGAAGAGCAATATGAACGCAGTCACCGCGAAAATAGTAAGAGGAAAGCTGTCGGCTTAGTTATTTATATCAAACCATTAAACTACATAGATATTTAAATCAGCTTTTTTTCAGTATTTGTTACTCTTTTTATCATTTTTACCTTTCTTTCGTCATTCTATTTTATATACAAATTATGCAATATACAATTTACAAGATTTTATTCGTACTCTGCTATTCATATTAATGTGTGTATTTCTTAATAAATTTTATAAAAGAGGGAAGAAACTTAAAAAATGAAAACGTAAAAGATAGGTACACGTAAAAAGTACTTTCATAAAGCTCGTGTAGATTGGCACTTGACGAAAGTCACATTGCGCTCCAACAGTCCCAGAGAATGTTTTTTAGAAAGGATCTCCTTAAGAAGGATTCTGAGCGAGACCAGAAAGCACCGAAGTTTTCGAGTAATCGCGGTTATTACTCGAAGTGCAGTTGTAAAAGTTCCACGGTAAATAACGAGCGAATTAGAATTATTGTCGAAAGAAAGTAGAGGATACTTTGTACGAAATTTCACAAAGTTCCGGATAGTCCGCCTTCCAATAATATACTCTGTTTCCATCTTACGTGTCACGCGGTTTTCACGAATTGTTTTCAGGAAGACTGAGAAGCATCCTTCCTTTATAATAAAAACTCTTTATCTGTTTGAGTTATATTTTACAAATACTTATAATATTTTATAAATATTTTATAAATATTATTATACAATTTATGGCATACGATGTGTGTTATTATTAAACGTCTAAAATTATAAATATATAAATATATTTATAGATATATATTTACATAAATAAATTTACAATGCTAAATTATATGCTAAATTATTTTCATGTTCATATTAAATTACTTCACTTAAATATCATATATGTTATATACTTTTATATACATTTGTCAATTAGTACATTAATCAAAGCTAATATTTCATTCGATATTATTCATATATATCATCGATGAAATGATTGTGACATTAAAATATGGCATGAAACCGCGTGACTTGATGCAGTATCTCCTCTTTGGGTCCATCTCGAAGGATCATTTTGCCCTTATGATAAAGAATGACCCCTCGTTCTTTGATACCCCCACCAACAAGGAATTGCCTCAACAAGAACTTATCGTATCCGCA